CGGCTTCGGAACAGGCATATCCCTGTGATCCACAATGTCGTCGATGTCGACTTGTCCATCCATGGTTGGGGGCAGCATCGATCTCCTGGAAGGGAATTGATCAGTCCCAGCGAAAGGTGCAAGCTTTGAGGCATGAAAGACTGGGTGAGTGCGTAGGTGACCAGGGACACGGATGACGTACGTAGGACCATCCATTTCATCTCCCACTACATCCAAGACTTCCCAGGGACCRAAGTACTGAGGCATTAGTTTGCGAGATATTCCGAATTCCTGTCCTAACTCACTAGCCTTGACCCAGACACGTTCCCCTACCTGAAATGTGGACTGCCTGCGATGTTGATTCTCAGAAGCAATCATGGCTTGCTGAGCCTTCTTCATATGTTCAACAGCCTCTTGCAGCAACTTCTCATATTGCACACCGTATTCAAGAGTGCCTGGAGTTGCAGCAGGTCGGTTTTCAGGTAGGAGAAAGTCTAATGCAGATCTAGGCTTCCATCCTAAGTGCAGCTGGTTAGGACTAACGCCGGTACTGCTATGTATAGCATTGTTGTACAGGCTGGCGATGAGAGGTAACTGCTCATCCCAGTCATCCTGGCTGGGCTTGATGTAATACCTCAGCAAGTGCTGTACAACTCTATTCATCTGTTCGGCTTGTCCGTTGGCTTCGGGATGATTCCCTGAAGTCATTTGAAGTTGACTGCCCATCTGTTCCACAGTCTTCTTCCACAGCTCACTTGTAAATCGGACGTTTCGGTCACTAATGATGGTCTTTGGTAAACCAAAGTCCCTTACCCAGTTGTCCTTGAACAACTTGATGACGTATTCTGTCCTGGCTGTCTCTGGCATTGGTATTAGTCTAGCGTACTTGGTGAATCGGTCAATGATGACGAACATGTGCCTCTTACCACTCTTGCTGGTCACAAGAGTGTCCATGAAATCCATGGAAACACTCAATCCTGGACCATCAGGAATAGGTAACGACTTCAATAGCCCAAGCGGTCCTTGAGGTCGCGGCTTGTCCCGCTGATAGACCTGACAGGTCTCAACATACTTCTTTGTGTCATCTAACATTCTGGGCCACCAAAATCGCTGTACTAAGTTAGCACTCGTCTTCTTGTAGCCAAAGTGCCCAGTTGCGTCATGACATTCTCCTAAAAATAAACTACGCAACTGTTCACTAGATGGAACTACCAATCTCTTTACTCCGGCCTTATCAAGATAGATTAGCCCATCCACAATCGCAAACTCACTTTCTGTGGCCTTGTCTTTTGCCTGAAGTTTGCGGATGATGTCCATCGTGACAGGGTCTTCCTGATAGGCTCTCACCAATGATTGAGTTACTTCATTAGATACGCCAAATTCAGAAACTAGCGCACCTAGGTAGTCTACTCTACGGGATAGCGCGTCTACAACCTTGTTATACTCTCACTTCAGGTACTCAAGCTTGAAGTCATATTGGTCTATGACCTCAATACATCGCTTGAGTGCATCAGAAAGAGCCAGTTGAGTCTTGATCCATTTGAGGGTCTGATGATCAGTCCTCGAATAGAAGAACCTTCCTAGAAGGAAGTGTCTCCAATGGACAAGTGCCTTGTAGAGAGCATAGAGTTCCCTTTCGTAGGTGGACTTAGCCAACTTCTTCGATGGCATCTTCTTACTCATGTACTCAATCGGTCTCAACTTTTTCCCATCCTGCTGAGCCAGCACTGCGCCAATGGCGTATTGGCTTGCGTCAGTGGTCACTATGAATGGCTTTTGCGGATCGGGAACCATGAGAACTTCATGATTCATGAGTGCATGCTTCAATTTCTTGACAGCACCCTCGCACTCGTCACTCCAGTCCCACGGTGTGTCAAGTCGAGTTAGATCAATCAAAGGAGAGGCGACTGTAGAATAGTTCTTAACGAAGTTCCTATAGTAGCTGCACATTCCTAAGAATGATCTAACCTCAGTGACTGTCTGAGGTCGTGGCCAGTCTCGAATACTAGCCACCTTCGCATCTTCCGGCCTAATCCCCTCCGGGAATACTTCATGACCCAAGTATAGTATCTTAGTGCGGCCAAACTCGCACTTCTCTAAGTTGACCTTATACTTGTGCTGTTGCAGGAGTGAGAGAACTGTCTCAACATGCTGTGCGTGCTCCTCGGCAGACTTACTAAAGATCAGAATGTCGTCTAGATAGACTACGACAAACTTATCTAAATGGTCATGGAAGATCCGATTCATAGCGTGTTGGAATGTACCCGGCGCATTGCAAAGACCAAAAGGCATCACAACAAACTCATACAGACCATATCTAGTCTGAAAAGTTGTCTTGTGTTGGTCCTCAGGTCTTATTGCGATCTGATGATATCCGGATTTCAAGTCTATCTTAGTATAGTACTTGCATCCCTGCACCCTATCCAATAGGTCGTCTATGTGAGGTAGAGGCTCTGCGTTCTTCAAAGTGATGGCATTGAGGCCTCTATAGTCAATGCACATCCTCAAAGTACCCCCCTTCTTTGGTACGAATAGCACGGGTGATCCGTAAGGGGAAGTACTAGGCCGAATCCATCCCTTCTCTGTCAGCTCCTTGAGTTGCTTCCGAAGTTCATCTAACTCGGCAGGGGCCATCCTATAGATCCTTCCCTTTGGGGTCTTACTCCCTGGAATGATTTCTATAGCGTGGACGACTTCCCTATCAACAACTCCTAAGGGCTCCTCGAATAGATCGGGGAACTTAGCAACGACGCTTTCTATCTTTGGGGGTGTTTTAACGGCCTCCCCCTTCCTAGATACATAAACGAGATACATACCTTCCTCTTGGTTTTGCTTGTAGTAGTTATAGAACGCTGATGCACACAAGCAACCATAGGTATCTACAATACTGCTGGCCTTGAACTTAGTCAATCTGACAGTTCGGCCATCGGGCAACTTATGCTTAAGCATCTTCTTTTCCCAGTCGAACTGGGGCTTAGCAACTTCGAGGTAGTACATGCCTAACAACATTTCGAATGGCAAGTCGTCGCTAACCAAGAACGAGATCTTATGGTTAAGCTCTCCTCCTCCATAGGAGAAGGTACAGACTACGTCCTTGATGTAGTCTGTGACAATCATGCGMTCTTTGTTGGCCAAAGTAGATRCTACTGGTCTACTAAGGTGCCGTACCCGGTCCTGTAGGTGCARCCTTTCCAAACAATCGCGACTTATGTAATTTCGCGTGGATCYRTTGTCTATGAAGGCTCCACATTTGCRGCCTCCTACATCCACTTCCACTACGAAATGTTCCCCTCTAGGACCCTTCTTTAGCGCCACCCAATACTCGCGAGGGTCCTTGTTTGACCACTCGCCTTCTAAGTCTTCTAAGGCCTCGGACACATCTAACGTACAGAGCATAGTTTGGTCTAGATGCGTCTGCGGGGTGACTAAGGAGTCATTAGCTTCGGCCTTGTCATGAAGTGAGGAGGGTATCATGCCCACTTCATCTTGAGTAGAAGCCGCTACTCCTTCCACTGGCCCTACGCGTTTCCCGAGCTAGAAGCCTGGGAATAAGTTGCCCCCACTTTTGGCGCAACCTTTTGCGCAACCTTAGCGTTCTGACACTTCCACTGCGTGTGTCCGTACTCTCCGCAGTTGATACAAGCGCCACGCATTCGGCGGTCACGCCACACGTCTTGATCAAGACCTGCCTTTACCCACTCACACTGTTTGGTCTGATTGGAGGCGGCCTTTCCTTGACCTCTAGGCTGGCCCTTCCCTCGGCCTGCCGCCTTAGTCTTAACTGCCGCGGCGAGGGTGCTACCCTCAGCTACCTCCTCGCCGTCATACTCTGAGTAGTCCATCAGGTCAGAGTGCTCATCGATCTCAGTTTGAGTCCCGCCAGACTCAACCATCATCAACTTCACCCCCTTCTTCTTCCACTCCTGAGGACTCTTCTTCTTCTTTGAGTCATTCCCTGAGGTGGGTTGAGCATTGCCTAGCGTGGCCTCTAAGTCTAAGGCTTTCCTAGACAATGTCTCAAACGAGTGGTACTCGGTGCGTGCCTCACTGGCTAGTAAGTTCCTCATGTTCTCTGGGAGACATCTGACAAACGTATTCAACTGGAACTGGTCGCTGTAGTTGATACCTGGGACGAGGATCAGGCTCTCAACGGTAGTCGTAAGCTCCCTAACTGACCTGAACTTGCATTGGTCCAGTTTGTTAATGGCATCAGTGGCTCTTTGAGCCTCCTGTGGGTTAAGCCATCGAGCTTCTACCATCTCCATGAATTGGTCTAAAGTCAAAGACTTAGCCCAATCCGCCATGCGTCTCCCGTACCCGGCCTTCACAACTACACCATCTAACCACTTGGCTGCCTTACCCTCAAGGTAAGACGCCGCAGTTACCACTTCGTCCTGAGGCAAGGTCCTTTTGGCCTTCACCCAAACCGGGACTGTCTCCAGGCAAGGTCCTGTTGAGTTCCTCGTCCTTTCTCTCGCCTGAGAAGGCCAGAGACGATTTCATTGGGGTCTTGGGATACCATTGACCTTGCGGCTGTCCAGTTGGCTGAACAGGTTGTTGTGGTGATGCAGCAATCACCACTGGACCCGAAGAAGAAGATGCAACAGTCTAAGCTGCAGCTGCAGATGTGCCACTTGGCTGTGTGCCAGCTTGTACGGCAAAGGGGCCTGACATCGCTGTTAACGACAACCGCGATTGTGCTGGTGGCCGGAATCCTGGCTTTGTCAATGCATCCAGGATCTGGTCCAAAGTGCTTTGCATGAAGTCCATCCTGCTGTCTACGTGCGCATGCAGTGACAACATGTTGTCCCTCAACACTTTCAGGGTGTCAGACAAACTCGATTCGTCCAATCCCTCTAACGCAGCCTTGTCAGCCTCTAACGTATCAAGTCTGGCCGCTCTACTTTTTCTCTCTTTTTCTCTATCGGTTGCTTTCTTCATATCCTCCTCTAACTGTTGGGGGAGCCTCTCGACCTGCTGGATCTCTCTGAGCTCCCTCTCACGTGGGGTCAACAGGCTGAACTGCGAGCCCGCCATTTGACTGGAAGACTGTTTAGACCCTGTTGAACCGGAAGTGCCCGAGGAACTCGTGTAACTCAGTGGCATTCCCAACTGAGTCCCACTAGTCCCTGACGAGGACGCAGACGATGACGCAGCAGAGCTGGTACCGTTAACCATTGCTGCTGCTCTGGCTGCTGTTGCCCGCTCTCTTGCTACTCTGTTTGCTTCCTGTAGTCCTGCTGCTAGAGCACGGGCTCTACGTTCGGCACGAAGCCGTCTTTCTTCTCCCTCGTCCAAGGTCCTGAACACGTGCGGAACCCTTAATGCTTCCAAACGTGTAAGTCTCCTATTGTCAGCCCTATCATCAACAGGATCTCATCCACTCATTAGTTAGGCAGATAGTTTCTGCACTAGAATCCCCTAGTGGAATCCAACCACAGCATGTATCTGACCGACACCTAATTTTCTATCAATAGTTGTGTCCGACGAGTATCCTACTATACCGAATCAAGTGGCATGTCTACAACATTCACACAGATTGTCTACATAGTCTAGATGCACCCTGAATGGTTCACTTTACAGCAGCATTAGTTAGAACTGTCTATGGTAGCATACTACAGTCCTACACTAATTCTGTCTGTGAGGTTAGCAGTCCGTCAAACAACTAATCAAAGGTACAAAAAGACAATGTAGCTGATGTATGATTGATGGGTATGGTTGTGTATACAGTTGATCACCAATTAGAACCTCCCCTCCCCTCCATCCAACATACCGAACAGCATAATTGAGCGAGCAGTGTCTTCGTGTGTGAATCGGCCCACCCCTGTGCCCAAGTTGTCACCGAGCAAGCCAGCCCAACCACTCTTATTTACCCTCGTACGACGATGAGCCTTCCTGTCCATGTGATCTGGCTGATCAGGAGGAATTTATAGAGCGCCCCCATCTCTTCAGGAATTATTTAACGTCGCAGTCAGGACGACGATCACAGCCAGATTCACAATGAGCTCCCAACCAGAAATATTTATAGACGGCCTGGTAAGCGTCTGTCATGGGCTGGCACACCCGGAGCAACTTCTATTTGGCGCAGCAAAGTGCCTTAATGGACAGCAGCCATCGCATGCGTGACCTACTCCCATTGGGTTGGCATGGTGACCGTGACCCAGTGCTTCGACCAGGGCCCTTCAGAGGCACCG